CAGCACAGCAAATGAAAAAAAAAAAAAAAAAAGAGTGAAAAGAAACAGATGAAAAGTAAATTTGCATAAAGATCTTATCGGGATGATAAAAAGTAGTTCTTAAACCAACTCATAGTGATTATTGCACAACTTAATAAAAATCATTGGATTAGATACTTGAAGGGAATATATGATAAAATATGCTGCAATGATGTTATTCAAAATATACTTACACCAAAAGCAATACCTGTTGCCCTTTCCCAAAAATCAACAATCTCAAAAATTAATATGGATATGAAAAACCCAGACTATTCAAAACAATCTTGCAAAAAAGAACAAAGGTGGAGAATTTACACTTTCCTAATTCAGAACTTGCTATACAGCTATAATGATTGTGGATGCTAGCATACAGACAAACCTAAAGATAAGTGGTATAAACCAAGTGTGGCAGTGCACACCTATAATCCCAGCACTTGGGAGGCTGAGGCAGGAGGATCCCTGTGAGTTTGAGGCCAGCCTGGGTTACATAGTGAGTTCAAGGCCAGCCTCACAGCAAGCACCTCATAGCAAGACCCTGTCTCAAACTGTCCCCTTAAAAAGGGTAAGTGGTGTAGAATTAAGAGTCCAGATATTAGCAGTTATATTTAATGTCACTTTCTTTTTTAAATAAAAGTAACAAGAAAAAGATCAATAGGAAAAGAATAGTATTTTCAACAAATGGCACTGAAGTAGTTGGTAATACACATGGAAAAACATCTCTACTCCATACCATATATAAAAATTAGTTCAAAATGGACATAAAAATCTAATGTTTATAACAATCTTAGTGGAAACACAGTATTAAATTTTGGTGAGCTTGAATTAGGCAAGTAACAAAAGGTAAAAATAATAAATTGGACTTAAAATAAAATCCCTTGCTAGGTATAGGCACAAGCCAGCAATCCCAGTCACTCAGAGCTTGAGGCAGGAAAAGCACAAGTTTGAGCATGGACAATTTAGCAAGACTCTGTGTCACAACAAAAAAGGAGCATGGGGTGGGGATATATCTTAGTGGTAGAGCACTTGCCTAGCATGCTTGAACCCTGGGTTCAATTCTCAGTACTATAAAAAATCAATAAATAAATTCAAAAGACATCATCAAGAAAGTAAGGCACTGGGCAGTGTGGCTCAGTGGTTGAGCATTTGCCTAGTATGTGTGAGGCTCTCAGTTCAGTTCCCAGCACTAGCACAAAAAAGTGAAAAGGCAACTCACAGAACTGCACAAAGTATTTGCAGATTATATATACCCAATAAGGGAATTATACACAGATTATATAAAGAAGTCTTACAACTCAATAATAAAAATACAAACAGGCATATTTAAAAATGGGCAAAGGATTTGTATAGATATTTCTCCAAAGAATATATACAAGAAACACACAACAAGATGCTCAATACAGTTGGTCACTAGAAAAATGCAAATCAAGACCCCAGTCAGACAATACTTCATATCCACCATCATGACTATAAGAAATGAGACAGAAAATAGCAAGTGTTGATGAGGATACGGAGAAGTTGGGCCTCTCATACATTTAAAATGGTGCAACTACTTTGGAAACAGTTTGATAGTTTCCAAAAAAGTTAAATATAAAATTATCATAATCATAATAACTACCAGTAATCCCTTTCCTAGGTAGCTATCAATGAGAAGTGAAAACAGACGTCCTTGCAGACTTGAGTGCTTGAATAGCAGCATTATTCACAATGGCAAAAAATGCAGAAATAGCACATATTTCCATTAATGGTGAGCGGATTAAGGAAACGGAACAATGGAATGTTATTCACCAATAAAAAGAAATCAAAGCATTGATACATGCTTTGACCAGGCTGAGCCTCACAATGTAAATAAATCTCAAGAGCTATATCACAGTCAATAAAAAATACAGACATAAAAGGATACACACGATAGGATTCCATTTAGATGAAACGTGCAAGAAAGGAAGCCAATAGAGACAATGTTGATTTCCTAGGGTTGGAAGTGAGAGGGGGCAGTGGCTGTAAATGGACACAAGATTTCTTTTGGGGATGATGGAATCATTCGAAAATCATATTGTAGTGACAGTTGCACAATTTTGTAAATAGTCTGAAAGTCATATAATTATACACTTACGATGGGTGAATTTTATGGTTTGTAAATTATAGCCTCAAGAAAACTGCTAGTAAAAATAATAATATTAAAAACACATATTAGAAGTAGCATGACCTAGAGATCACTTAGCCTAACAACCTTCATTTTGTAGATAAATAAAGTAAATGAGGCCAAAGAAGCAGCCGCTATCTGAGTAGTGTCTAGAGCCCAGGCACGTGGGGATTAGCATGCTTACCAAGTCTCTTTCTACATATGCATTCCTTGACCACTCAAGCTAGGAGGGGTCACCTTTCCAGTTAGTTTCACAACACTGACATTTCCTTTTAGACCCTTAATGACAAACCATGGTCTTTTCCTCTGACTGGACAGCTGGCTTCCTGAGAGGGTGACCTTTTCCCACATTTGCCCTCCATGGTGTCCTAGTGCCCAGTACAGTGGACAGAGATGATGTGGTTCTCCATAAATATCTGTTAAATGAGTGAATAAATGGATGGGCAGGTGGGCCTAAAGGCCAAATGTTCTCAGTAGTCAGGGCAAAGAAACACCCCACGTGGAATATTCCTCTGGCTAAAACAAGTGACACCTTATAGTGGAGATGTGCATTACTCACTTGAAGCAAGATGAGGCTGAATGTTTTATTAGATTTCGTGAAAAAACAGCATCTAGGTTGAAAGGAGGGCCATCATAGAAGAAAAGCTCCATTTAGCTTTGCCTAACTGGTTGGAAAGAAGAGGATAGCAGATAAGGCCCTCCTCTAGCCAAACAAAAGCCTACAAAAAGCTATAGACCAGGGACAATGGATGTACAGTGTATTCATTGTGTGTTGCAAACAGGTACTAATTTTTAAAAAGAGATCTTTGCAGGTTTTCAGCTGCCCAGTTGATTGTTTTGTTGACTTCTGAGTGTGTTTGGAAGGGGTTGTGTATGTATATACAGGACATGGGAGAATCTGGGGTTGGGTAATTTCCAAGAGTCAAACACTTTTAAATGACTTCTTAATTTGCCCTAACAATTTTAAGTTTCATAAAGATGATGGAAAAACAGCTGAACATAGAACTTCCTGTCATCAACGATTACGTTTGATTTCTGCTCCTGACGAAACAGCATACTGATGACTGCACTAGTAAGATAATTTGGAAGGTCCAGTGTTGTGTCAATCATTCTCATTCAGTTCAAACCCAGAATAATCCATCAGGGCATTTGCCTGTCCTTTGGCCAAGGACTGCAAGATGTGGGTAGTCAGGAATAGGAACAGAAATTCTTCAATAAATCAATGTTTGATGATAATTACAGCCAATATATCATTTAGGATATATTGCATTCCAGAGATTATGGTTGCATTATTTCAATTAAACCTTCCACATATTGGTGAGGCTGCTCTAAGATCTGTATAAAGTGAAAGTCCAGCTTCCTCTCTTATCATTGGGAAAGTATAGGCTTTGAAAAAAACAAAAAACTTGTTCAAAACATCCACAGTAAGAGGTGCTGTGTGATTTGAACTCAAGCTGATTTGACTGCAAAGGCCATGTTCGAAACAAATGTGCACTAAAGCTTCTCA